AGTTATAGTCCTACATATCTGGACTATATTAGATAGGAGAAGCCAATATATAGGTACTATGTTAAACAGAGCTATCCATTCTCAAACATGTCACGTTAAAAATACTTTTAGAAATTTTGTGAGCTATTCATCAAAAGGATGATTAAGATAACGTTGGTCTAATGTGATGAATTAAATGTGACATTGTAAGGCCACTGAGGTGGCATTGCAATACTACGCAATAGTCGGCATCACATCTTAGGGACTTCCCCAGCCATTCATCGTACTGGCAGAGGCTGCTTGATGGTGGAAGCCCAATGCAGCTTGAAGACATAAGACACCCTGAAGATATAAAATAGGGGAAGGCTGAGTTTCTGATCCTGTTCCCATGACATGATCAACCTCATCCATGTGCCAAGTTGATGTGCAGTGGATGAGGAAAAGAAAGAGGAGCCTGAATAAATTCATGCTACATGGCTTTAGACCAGGGGTGTCAAACTCGCAACGTCACATGACATGTCGCGACGTATCGTGACTTTTTTCCCATTGCCGGCAATGGGGTGGGCGCCGTTTTGGCATGACGCATCCGGCCTGCGGGCCAGCAGTTTGACACCCCTGCTTTAGACTAATGCTTCTGAAGTACAGAGGTGCTGTAGCCACAATGTTCTCCATTCTTTATTTTAAAAAAACAGGCACTCCACCTTTCTAGCTATAATCAAGATCAAGCGAGATGGCTTACAATAAAATAAATCGAAAGTCTGCAGGTGAACCCAGCACTGACAAATATTAACACAGTAGGCATACGACACTATTCAGAACAAGAGTTTAGCAAAGTGAAAGACTACATTACTAAAATGCACACCACCTACTCAGGAGCCCTGCAGTTCTCAGGTTTTCAGAAGCAAATTCTGTAATACTGCTTCTAGCATAGGAGATGCCTCACTTAGTCAACATAATTTTCTTCTGTCAATAGATGGTGCAAGACTCAGCTTACTTTAATGAGCAGGTGGTCTTGGGTGGAACTTACAATACATTCAACAAGACTGCATGGAGAAATTGTTCTGCACTATTGTTCAATCACAGCACCAAACAGTATAGAATGTCCCCTCTGGATCCATACTTAAAGCTATGAGTCAGCCATAGACACTTGAAGGCTCAGCTACCTCACAATATACCCAGAGACCTTGGGAGGACCTCAAGCAGCTACTTCAAAAGCCACATCCAGAGCACTTATTCAGTTACAAAATGAACTTATTTTTAAGGCATAGTAAAAACATACACAATGGAGTCACAGGCTTGGGGAGTTATATAAATCAATTAAATAAACAAGCTGTAGTACAAGCTAATCTCAAAACATATGAAAAAATCTTGATCTGTTACCATGGCCTTAGATAGCTACAGTAAATATGCTGTGTTTCTTCCATTAATTTTGATGAGGAAGGAAGCCAGACCTTATACCTTTTCTCCAAACCTTTATGTCAGGGGTCTTCAAGCTTGGCCCTTTTATGACTTGTGGACTTCAACTCCCAGAATTCCTGGCTGAGGAATTCTGGGAGTTGAAGTCCACAAGTTATAAAAGGGCCAAGTTTGAAGACCCCTGCTTTATGTCTTCAAGTAATTTATTTTACTCAAGTTTTGTTCCAGTCCTTTTCTGTAATTGAAGTATATCACACTAATTCAGTTTATTTCTGGATGAACATGTTCTGTATCCAGCCAACTATGTTCAATAAACCATGGTTAAAAAAAGAGCTAAGCATGAATGTGTGTGAACTAGACCAAATGCCTCCAGAAGTGGTGAATGCTCCAACACTGGAAGTTTTTAAGAAGAGACTGGACAGCCGTTTGTCTGAAATGGTGTAGGGTTCCTGCCTGGGCAGGGGGTTGGACTCGATGACCTCCAAGGTCCCTTCCAACTTTATTACTATTATTATTATTATTATAAATGCCCATAACTGGGCACCCTAGCAAATTATATGAATTCCTTACAGTAATTTGCCAAATGTGTGATTATCTCACATTTATTATGAACAACCCCAGCATATCTTAATATGGTTCAAATTTCCTCAAGCTTCCAGATGGAAGCATTGGGCAGCTTGACATCCTCCAACTTTATGTGCATGAATTCCCAGAATTCCTGAGGTATAAGCAGCATGATCTTTATTAAGAATTTTGGAAGCTGCAATTTACACATCTAGAGTGAGTCCAGGTTTGAGAAGATTGTCTGAAATAGTATAGGCTTGAGCAGGGGGCTGGACTAGAAGATCTCCAAGGTCCCTTCCAGCTCTATTCTATTCTAAATTCTAAGATTGCTTTAAAATGTGCTGCTCCCCCTCTCTTGCCATCCTATATCTAACCCAGGGGTAGGCAACCTTGGCTCTTTTATGACACGTGGACTTCAACCCCCAGAATTCCTGAGCCAGCCATGCTGGCTCAGGAACTCTGGGAGTTGAAGTCCACGAGTCATAAAAGAGCCAAGGTTGCCTACCCCTGGGCTAGCTATTTCCCCATATGAAACCAGATATTAGAATTTGGAAGCAGTCTGATGTGCATTGTTCCTTATGAAATGCCACCATCTTTTCTTTAGCAATTGTTGCTTTGTGGTTAGCGGAATCAATTCAACAAAATAAAACTTGACCACTGCCAGCAGCTGATTGAAGACAAAGTCAACATTAACATTGGATGCTCTCTGATACTCACAGCTCATCTCGTTGCCTCTGTGACAGCACCATTGTGGCTGTGATGTCTGGCTAATGCGATCCAGCTGTCTCCTCAGCGTCAAGCTCCTTTGAAATTCTGTGATGCACAATTTAGTCTGCCACAAAGTGGCTTCAACCCAAAAGACAAGGTGGTGCCACAGGTAAACACTAGCAAATAGGCAGGATGCATTCAACAATGAAGAGTCATTCCATCTAGAAAACAAAAGGGAAAACAATAGTATTTCATAGAATGTGTCAATAATATACAGTTTTACCATTTAAGGATGTTTGCAGCATAAAATATGCAGGAATTTTAAGAGCTATGTATGATTTTAGGTTAAAGAGTACCATTCCTCAAAAAGGCTTTCCCCCAAATTTCCACAAGCCGGTAATTTTTAATGTGCCTGAAGAAAAATATTATTTTATACAAAGAATAATTGCATTGGCTTTATTTAATTATTTTCTTGTATTCTTACTTAAATTTAAATATAATTAAATCAAACTTTGTTCTGCCTTCCCCATATTTTACAAGCAGCCCCAATGCCTTAAAAAATTAGCTACACAAATTAGAAAACATCAATGCTTGTCATTTGTTAGATCAGTAGTTTGTCCCATTAAACCCATATTATGCAGAATAGATTGAATCTTCTCCTTTAATCATCTTCCCTTTTTTCAAAATATTTAAAGAAAATTTTAAAAACAATGGTATCACTGACACCACAATATTATGCTCCAGTTAGCCAATCAAAGATTACTGAACTAGGGTCATTAAATATTCTGCAGAAAAATATTCTAGTACATTCAACATGCAAATTCATTAATTGGAGAATAGCAGTTAATAAAAAGGTTTGACAAATCACATTCGATAATACTGAAATATTTCATTAATTTATATTCAAGAATATTATGAACTTGAAAAACCCAGTTCTGTAATTTCTTTAAAATGAAAAAAAACTGGGAGATGATCTATTATGCTTAAAAGTGCATTTATTTATGAAAATACATATGAAAGATTCAGGAAAATCTTTCATATGTATTTTCATAAATAAATGAAAATGAAAAGGTTTTGATCAGTGTGGGCTACCTGCTCTAACATATGCCGGCGAAACATGGACACTAAGCCCACAATCGATACAAAAGATACCAGAGCCATGGAAAAATACACACTCAGCATCACAAGACAAGATAGAAAGACCTGCACATGGATTAGAGAACAAACAAAACTATACAATATCATCAAGAGAGTAAAAGAATTGAAATGGAAGTGGGCTGGTCACATAGCAAGACGAACTGATGGCAGGTGGACCAAGGCAGTCATAGAATGGATCCCCCTTGATAAAAAGCATCCACGAAAGAGACCTAAAACAAGATGGATTGAGGACATCAGCAAGTATTGCGGACCCAATTGGCAAAAGAAAGCTCACGGTCGTCTTGGTTCAAAGCATGTGGAACGCATGAATAGACAATGGCTAGGATGATGATGATGTTGATGATATGAAAGATTACAATTTACACTAAATAAAACTTTGCCAAAACTTTTTAACTTTCATTATGCTGTACTTTAGTGTTTTCTACTATTACACTTATGAATCCAGTAGGAACAGTATAAAAATGAGATTCCAAATTGTAATCTAGTCCAGAGGTCTCAACCTTTTGGCCACCAGGGACCGGTTCTATTGGAGAAAGGTTTTTCCACAGACCAGAGAGTGTGTGGTTTTGTGTGCTACCTGCATCCCACGGATGGGATTTTGTTTGTGCGGACCAGTTGCTGGCATGCTGCGGTCCAGTACTGGTCCACGAACCGGGGACCCCTGATCTAGTCAATCTACTGAAGTCCTTCAATTAACACACCTGGCTCTTTCGTACGGACACTGTTTCACAGGAGAATTTTATTATCTTATCGTTTTTATTGGCAACAGACTTTACCATAACCAACCATACATTTCATACTTCAGTCAATCCTAGATCCCAGCCACTTTTCTTGGTGGCTCAGAGGCAATATTCATAATGTTTAGTACAGGGTAATATTCAAGCAAGAATGCAAGAAACAAGAAAGTATTTTGTTTTAAAAAAATCTCCATTTAAGTATTCCAGTCAAAAGAAAATAATGTTTACTGAATTTTTAACCCAAGATGGAACTTCTGTAAGATTAAATAGTTTCTTACAATGTTTAAATGATGCCTTTGGAAGTCTAAGCATTAAAAACAAGCAGAAAACTACAAAAACACCCACAAAAAGTAAACACCTAATATATTTGTCTAGTTTTTTCCCATTCCAGCATAAAATGGATAGAGCTATAAGCAATTCTGTCTAATGCTGCATACCTACACAGTTTGGTTTCAAGAAATAACAACAGTCCCTGGGAGAAATATAGTATAAAGAAATGCCAGTTCAAGCAACCTTTGCAATGTCTGCCTTCCCTTTTCATGCCAGGATACTTCAGTAACTTTAGAAAAGCTATCAAATAAGAATCCCAAATGCAAGGTTAGGACCATATCATTTACACATGTAGAGTAATAAATGTTATTAAACTAGTGGAATATACCTTATTGTAGTATTATAATAATAATAATAATAATAATAAAGTTGGAAGGGACCTTGGAGGTCATCAAGTCCAACCCCCTGCCCAGGCAGGAACCCTACACCATTTCAGACAAATGGCTGTCCAGTCTCTTCTTAAAAACTTCCAGTGTTGGAGCATTCACTGTTTCTGGAGGCAGGTTGTTCCACTGGTTAATTGTTCTAACTGTCAGGAAGTTTCTCCTTAGTTCTAAGTTACTTCTCTCCTTGATCAGTTTCCATCCGATGCTTTTTGTCCTGCCTTCAGGCGCCTTGGAGAATAGCTTGACTCCCTCTTCTTTGTGGCAGCCCCTGAGATATTGGAAGACTGCTATCATGTCCCCCCTCGTCCTTCTCTTCATTAAACTAGACATACCCAATTCCAGCAGCCGTTCCTTATGACAGACTTTGTCTAAACTACTACACTTTTCCTGGGATGTTTGCACGTTCAACCTCTTAACAATTTTACTATGTCTCACAAAACCTTCCAGAGATTTCTAAAATCATTTTTTTTCAAATTTCCTTTATTCCTCAAATATGAGAATATATACATTTTCAGACTGACCCAGCCGAAATGGATAGATACGTTCAGAAAGGTAGAGGCATGGCAATTAATCCTTCCAATCTACATTTAAGATATTTCTCAATGACATTATTCCGCAACTATGGTTCTCAGAGAGAATTTATTTTTCGACAATGAATTGCAGCTACGATGAACAAAATAAAGTACAGCTAATATGTACTATGCCTTATTTGCCTGCAACCGTTGTATGGGTTCCAAATCGCTCTCTGATCCCCAGGCTAGGTGGCAAAGCCAAGTCTTCAGGCCCTTCCAGAAGGCCATCAAGGTTGGGGCCAGACAAACCTTGAGGGGAATGATGTTCCATAGAGTGGGTGCAACAGCAGAAAAGGCCCTCTTCCTGGGTCCCACCAGATGACCCTCTCTAATGCAGGGCTTTTCAGCCGGTGGTACACATACCACCTGTGGTACTTGGCCACATGGTAGGTGGTACGCAACTGCTAGCCAAGTGTAGCAGGGGAGGAGAATGAGCCGAAGCGACCCAAGTCTGAGGGAGAGGCAGTTAAACTGCAGGACTGTCTGGGCTTGGCAGAAGCCCCAGGAGCTGGCAGGACTCCAACTGACTGGCATTTCCGGAAGCAATACGGAGCTGGAGATGAACTGAAGAAAGAAAAAATGGGGGGGGGAGGGGAGGAGAGGCTATAAAAAGAGGTAGTTTGGGTGGGAAAGGGAAAAAAAGGCAACAGGAAAAGAGAAGGAGAGGTCAGCCGGCAGGGAGGAAACAGGGACAGAGAAGAAGCAGCAGCAGCAGCTGTTGCTGGAAGAAAAGTTCGTTTTCCCCTAGTTCGTTTTCTCCAGCCAGGAGAATGCAATCAGTGCTGGTGAGATAAAAAGCCAGCATGTCTGAAAGGAGGTGGGTTTATTTAGTTCTGGATCAGCTGGCAGCTTGATTGGCTTACCATAAAGATTTTTATACAGTTTTTACAGCGTTTTGTAATTCAGAGGCTCCTTTGTGTGCTTTGGTTATTGGAATATTTTAGTCTGTATTTTAGGCTAGCAATGAGTCCAAAGTGTGGACTTCCGTAGATTTAATCCCTTTAAACAAATGTAATTAGTTTTACCCCCCTTATCTTGAGTCAGTCTATGGCTTTTAGAAAGTTTTCTTTGAAGGTAAACAGGCTTAATTTTAAAGCTAAAGCTGTTTGCAATTGCCGGAGCCTTTCAGTCTCAGATTGCAACATTGTGACACGCCTGAGGCAGCTTAAAGAGAAAAAAACCCGGCGTTTATGTGTTTATTTTGTGAGCCTTTCTTGCTTTGCACTTGATTCCTGTGTCTTTAAGGGTACAGGGAAGGGATTGGGGGGGTGCATTCTTACTACACTGTGGAAGGAGAGCTAAGAAGGGCCGACCAGCTAGCTCAGGGGTCTACAAACTTAGTAACTTTAAGACCTGTGGACTTCAACTCCCAGAATTCCTCATCCAGCCATGATAGCTGAGGAATTCTGGGAGTTGAAGTCCACAACTTAAAAGTGCCAAGTTTGAAGACCCCTGAGCTAGCTGGTAGTGGTGCATATTAATAAACATGGATAAATTCATCATACATTTGTCAGTGCAAAGGGAAAGTGATTCAGCAAAGGAACAGCCACCAAAGAAATTAAAACTGGTACTTTTTTTACTTTTTTTTCTATAGTTCGTAATATTTTATTAGATTATAGAATAAAATGCAAAAATACAAAAGCAAATAGTAGGACACAGTGGGGAGGAAAAAAGGGAAAAAGTGAGGGGGAGAAGGGAAAAAGAACAGACTTCCCCTGTTGCAGTAGAAGGAAGCATTAACATTGAACATCAACTTTTTACTTTTCCATATTATTATAAACTAGCCATTTCTATAACAACAAATGAATCTAATCCGTAAAATCCAAAATCCTCCCCTTTTTTTTAGTATCAAGTTTTTGACACATTGGTAAGCACTGGTGGTCCTCAAATATTATCATGTCCTAAAAGTGGTACAATCTGTGAAAAGGTTGAAACGCCCTGCTCTAATGCAGGGCTTTTCAACCAGTGGTACGGGTACCACCTGTGGTACATTGGCACCTGGCAGGTGGTACGCGAACATCCTAGAAAAGTGG